GCTGGGCCCGCTTCCTGGCACCTGGTTGGGCCTCTGTAAAGGTCAGGCATTCAGTCTTGTTCACTGCTACAGCCCAGTCCCCGGCTAACGGTAGTTGCCCTGTAATGTTTACGAGAGAATGAGTCTGCTTTCCAGCCTCACTCTGCCCACCAGGCCCTCCACTGGGGCCTGGATTCTGTCCGTCCCTCAGTCTCCTCACCTGTCTCTTCCACCCTTTGCCCTTCTCATGCCTTTTTCTCCCCTTCTCCTGGGGTTCCAGCCACACTCCTCCTCCTCCTCCCCCAGCTTCCTTCCTGCCACATATATTTGCCCTTGCTGTTTCCTCTGCCTGGAACCTGTGCTCCACCCAGACCCACAGCCTCCCCACTTCCTTGGTTCATCGCTCACGCACTGCCAGCCACCTAACTCAGACTCAGCGCGGCCCCATAGGGCAGGATAGAACTGCTCCTGTGGGTTTCAGAGGCTGTAACTCTTTATGGGAGTAGAAAGCCTCTTCTTTGCCCTTTGGAGGGGCTGGTGGTTTTGAACTGCTGATCTTAAAGTTAGCAGCCCAGTATATAGCCACTGTACCACCAGGGTTCCATCTTTACATCTCAGCTTAGCTGTCACGTTCTTCAGGGGCCCTCCTTCACTCCCCATGGCCCGATTTAGGTTAGCACTCCATCTGTGGCTACTCGTTGGATTCTGAGCTTTTCCTTGAGGCTGATCACAGCCGGAAACGGCATGTGCACCAATGGCAGGCTTGTTCTTCAGGCCCAAGCCGGGCCTGACCTGCTCGCCAGTGTGCCCCCTGGGCCTAGAGAAGCCCGAGGGGCTGGTCAAGCAGGTGGCGTGGAGCTGATCCTGGCTGGTGGCAACCCTGTGACCGCCAGAGCAGAGCTGTGGTCTGGGAAGTAATTCACCAGGGCTTCCTTCCGAGGCACCTCAAGGTGCACGTGAACTTCAGCCCTTTCAGCCGGCAGCAAAGCGCATTAAGCGTTTGCATCACCCAGAGACGCAGGTATGGAATAAGCCAAACCAAACCCACTGCCATCACGTCGAGGCCGACTGTAACGCTACAGGACTAGCAAGCCCTGGCTCGCCCCCGAGGAGGGGCTGTGCTTTCAAACCGCTGACCTTGAGGTTGGCAGCCCAGCGGGTAACCCCTGTGCCCCCAAGACTCCTATAGACAACTGCAAAGCTGTAACCTGCTCAGATTTGACTTTTTCATAAAGAAGCTGAAACACAAAGTGGGGAGGTGACTTGGCCAAAGCCACACAGCGACTGAGTCGCAGAGCTGGGCCTCAAAGCCAAGTCACCTTGCTCCCGGACAATGAACAGAGCTCCACAGGCTGGGCAAGAGGAAGTCAGACACTGGCCTTGGGGGCTGCGGGGGGCCGAGCCAGTCTGGCAGGCTGCTGTGGGTGTTATTCAAAGCTCGACACCTGGACGCCCTCAGCCATGGCAATGAGCCCCACCCACAGGTACAGCCTGGTCTCCTTGAGTCCCACACACAGGTGTGCCCCAATCCCTCACAGACTAAAGGGAGCCCCCAACCCCACCTCCACTCAAAGAGTCCCTGAGGTTTCTACAGTCCACTGGTCTTCCATATCCAGATCAAAGTGTCTTTCCTCCTACTGAGGAGCCCTGGTGGCATAGGGGTCATGTGTTGTGCTGCTAACCACAAGGTCAGCAGTTTGAAACCACCAGCCCCTCTGTGGGAGAATGATGAGGCTTTCTCGTCCCATAGAGTTCCAGTCTCAGAAACCCACAGAGGCAGTTCTACCCTGTCCTGTAGACTCTCTCTGGGTCGGCACCAACTTGAAGGCAGTCAGAGAGTTCACTGTTTTCCTCCTACATCCCTGGAAGGATGGTGATATAATTAGTTTATTGTGCCAACCTGACCGATAAACATGTGTGGGGTTAATTAAGGGCAGAGGGATAAATGGCTCCGTGAGCCTCGCCCTTCGAGTTCTCGGGTCTCTTGCTCTCTGATGGTCACACCAGGATGCAGCTGCCTTAGCAGTTTCCCTGCTTTAGCTGGCAAGGCTGACTTCCTGCAAGACATCCCTGAGGAGAAGCTGCATGGACCTACCCCGATGCATCCCTGGGTGCTGGAGCAGCCATGTGGAGACCCCTGCCAGCGCTGAGATGCTTACACATTCACTGATTTGGCTTTCCTCCTGCAGTTGGCGTCATTGTGTGTGTTTTGTGAGATGGAGGAGGATTTTGTGGATTGGTGTCGGACATATGGGTTAATGTTGGACTTGTGGACTTGTGGGTTTGTGCAGCACTGGGTTGGGATGTTTTTTTAATGTGCACTTACCCTTTATATAAAACTCTCTCTTATACATGAGTTTCTGTGGATTTGTTTCTCTAATGTACCTAGACTAACAGATGGGAAGGCATAGACTGAGGAGAACTAGCCAGGAGGGCAAAGACCTGAGAGTCCCAGGCGCCACAAAACCTCTGTTAACCTTGTGTAGAGATGAAAGACTGCCCAATCCAGGCACAGCGCTGGCAGCAGTGCTAGGCACAGGGCAAGACCCAAAGAAACACTCTTCCATCAAGTTGAGGCCCACTGGGAACGACCCTGCAGGACAGGCGGGAACTATCCTGCGAGTTTCCCAGGCTGTGACTCTTCCCTGGAGTGGAAAGCCCCATCTTGCTCCCACGAGGCTGCTGGTGGTTTCAAATGACTGGCCTTGCTAATCGCAGCAGCAACACATACCCACTTGGCCACGAGGGCTCCTAGACACAGGACAAGAGCTGGCCTAATGCCCATCGGAGCAGAGGCAGCCAGTCCACTGGGCACAGGGAGCCCTGGAGACATAAGTGGTGCTTGCCTACCCTTGTGAGGGTATTTGATGAATGAACGAACGAAAAAGAAAAAAAGGCTTTCCAAACTCTCCAGGGTAGACCCTTCAGGAGCCACTTCCCACAGCCAAAGCTCCCCTCCAGAGCAGAATGTCTCACTGAGGCATGCCTGCATCAGTGTCGCCAGGGGCGATTGTTTCAGATGCAGGATCCTGGAGAGCAGCTCGGGCGCCGGGCATGAGGATCTGAGATGGGACAATTCCCAAGCTCACATCGCGGGGTCAAAGTCGAGGAGGCTGGCTGGTGGAGTGGACAGATGTGGCATGCGGGGGATGAGGGGGAGGGGTGGCCCAAATCCAGGAATGCAGACACCGCCTTCCTCTCTCACGTCTTCTGCCCGGATTGGATTTAAGGCGGGTCCACTGAGCGCAGCTCTGGGGAAAAAAAGTCAAAAAGTCCGTGAAGCGGCCCGGGCCTTGGAGCGGGA